AAAGCTATCTTTGTGACATGCTTTATTTAAATCTGTGAAGCCGACGTAAGTTTGCCACTTGCCATAAAAACTACTTCACCAGGAATGGGTTGGCGAGTCAGTCTGGGTATTTCACTTCTCTGATGAAGTTAATGTTCAGAAGTTTCTCAACTTTGTCTCTAAATGCTTTAGAGCGCTCTGCATCCATAGATCTTCTATTTTGTCTTATTGGTCGAGTTGTTGGGTCGATGTTCAGTTTGTGGCACATTATCTCAGGATTGATCCCCACCATATTCGCGTGCACCCATGTGAACACGTCGAGATTTTTCTTCAGAAACCTTACTAGACCATCGGCCATTTCTTTGCTCAGACTGCTACCGATCTTTAATACGCGAGTTGGGTCTTCCTTGCTAATAGATATTTCTCCCAGCTCTTCTATTGGCCTTGCAGTGGGCTTTTTCCTGTGGATGCGAGGATTTATGGTATCCTTGAGAGGTCCGAGGTGTGGCTCGGACTCTATAATGACCATGGTTCTTGGGAGCGGCCATTTTAGTGTAGCATTAATGGCTCGGTTGCAACATTCCTGAGATTCTTTTATCTAGCTTCTTATCGTTGCGACCACCTCGGGAGTTGGAAACCTCATTGCTTGGTAGCACACTGAAGTGACTATGCTCAAATCATCCAGGATCGGTCTTCCAAGGATGACATTGTAAGTGGTTGGGCAATCTACCACTAAAAATTCTGCCATCACTGTCCTGATTTTGCCCATAGAGTCATGGGTAGGTCGATTGTTCCCTCGGGGACTAGGCTGTTCCTAGTGAATCCATAAAGTGGTGATGGGCACGCCCTTAAGTCTCTCTCTGTGAACCTCATTTCTCGGAAAGCTCTCAAGAAGATAATGTTCGTTGCACTGTCATTATCAACCATCACCCTTAGTACTCTAGCGTGGTCGATCCTAGCTGTGATTACAATGGCATCATGATGGTGGCGAGGGGATTCTTCACACTTTTCCACTATGAATCCTATCACCTCGCTTTCTTGTCTTGGTCGCTTAGGCAGCTTTTGTTCACTACTCATCACTTGGGGGACTGAGTTTGTTCTGGCCTCTCGAGCATATTGCTCGCGAGAGCGCCTTGAGCTCCTGGCGATGTCAAGATCCCCATAGATCATGCCCACCAGGACTTCATTGCTGGCGTTGGTCGAGGCTTGTTGGATCTGGTTATTTTGCTCGCCAGTACTTTCGCGAGTTGGTGCCTCCTTAACAAATTGTTTTAGGTGGCCCTTTTTGATAAGATTTTCAATGACATCCTTTAAAGCCTGACACTAGTTGGTATTGTGCCCGATGTCTTGGTGGTATCGACAGTATTTCTGCCAATCTCTTTTGCCTAAAGCCCCCTTCATTCTTTCTGGAACGGACAATCTCTTAGCCTCAAAGGAGACTTCATATATATGAGCTATGTCTTGCGTGAGGGGGGTGTATTCTGCATATCGCGGGAAAGGCTGCCTGTCTTCGCGGTTATCTGTTCTCTGTCTCTTTTAGGACCCGTTCTGGTCACTGTCATCCTAGTTAGTAAATTCATGTATTATTCATGATTGATATGCCCAACCATATAATTCGCGCATTATTCGCGAACTGTCTTATTTTATCAACCCAACTGTATTATTCGCGAATTATATGTCTCAGCCGTATTATTCGCAAATTATTCCCGTATCCAAATTTTTGGTGAATTTTTACAAACATATTTTTCACCATTTTCTATATCATACCCGTAAAATTCCTGTGCCCTTTTTTTGTCGTACTCATATATTTGAAATGCTATATAGATTTTAACCAAATGGCCCATGAAAAGTGCTAAAACTAGGATTGATATTGCCGTATTTTTCAAAACGTATTATTGACAATGTGTCGTATTAAACCTGCACCGTATTTTTTTCATATCTGAATTTTATGATCGAAATTTTACAAACGTATTTTTCACCATTTATACTATCATACCCGTACCTTTTTTGGTCATACCCCATATTTACTAACTAGGCCTGTCATTGCAGTCTTGGCCCTTCCGCTTGTCTAATGGGCGATCTTGTCACCTGTCTGGGGTTTTGTGCGTCGAGCTTTTGGCTAAGGTTGCCAGCAAGCTTTCTGCTCACTGATGTTTTGCAGCCATCTGGTAAAACTTTGCCAGACTCATATGATCTTCACTTTGGAGCTCTTTCCACAGCTTCGTTTGCGGCCTAATGCCAAGAACCAATGGTGTTTTCCTTGAGTCTTTTGTACCACCTCTTGATGTCCCATACCAATGTGACTGTGAAGCAATGACACTTCGCTAAGTCACATACCTGATGCAGCTCCATCAAATCATTGAAAGTGTTGAGGTGATCTTTGAGATCTCCTTTCTTGTTGAACTTACTTTCTGGCACCTTGAATCCTTGGGGAAGCGGGGCCTAGCGAACTTCCTCTGTAAAGGAAGAGCTCACTATCTCTTCCGTCGCATGGTTCAGGTGGGCTCTTAGATTGTCGAGTATTTTTTGCACTCGATCCAAGTCTTCGTTGTAGTTCCCTCTCTGGCTCTGTTAAGCCTTACCTTGAGTAAGTGAGTTCGCAAATCTGTTACTTGTGAGCCCCCTCTATTATGTGCATTGATGTGCGAGGTTGAGTTATGATGGCTAGGTTGGTAGGTGCTATCATGCTCGTTAGTGTGTTGCTTGCAACGTCGATTATAACTGAAACATCGGTCATTGTCATATTGGTGAACATGACTCACCTTGTGAGCTTGTGAGGTCTGAGCTTACCTTAAGCGTGGGTTAAAACCGGCACGCTGGCATTGGGGATTCCGCCAGGCAAGTTGAGCGTCTCGTGGGTGACGATTTCCTTCACTTTCCCTCATTAGTTGTTTTCTTGGTTGCCTTCGGGGGTTAGTTTGCCTGCAGGACTCACTCTCGTGAGCGGAGTGTACTATATGACATCATGGGTGTCGGTCACCCCTTAGTGCCGATGAACCAGACTGGTCGTCGGCTGAATTCTTACCTATTAAGGTAATATTGATGAAGCGTGGTTGGTCAAGGTTTTGTGCAGTTGGTTGTTGATTTATCAGCTCAGTTACGTTCTATTGCACCGCATGTGCAACCATTGTTTTAATCAGTTCCACCAGTTGGCCTTTTTTGGGATTTGACGTCCTTACTCCCAGGTTATTCACAGCTTGTTGAGTTGGCAGAACTGGTGGTCGACACCTAGCGGCATCTTTTTGCACCTCCTAGTGGGTGGTTTCCACATTGTCGTGGTTTCTGGTGGTGGTTTTCGATCTTGTATGCACCATTGTGAGCCTGGAGTGATCGGGATCATTGGGATTGCTTGCCAAAAATTCTGAGATTTTGGCGGAAGCCCTCATTCTAGTGCCAAAATGTTGATGTAAGAATTACACCAACTAGAGTGATCCGATCAACCTTGTCGGGACCAGAATTGATGTGTGCGTGATTACGGGTAACCAGCAATGAGTAAATAATAAATGTAGTAAAGTAAATGGCAAAAAGATTTCTAAAGTGGTTCAGCGAGTTGAACTCTTGAGCCTACGTTCACTGTTTTTGTATTTGCTGTGAGAGCTTACAATGAGAGTCCTAGAATAATTTGCTAACCCCTTTCTCCTCGTTGGAAGGGGTTTACAAACAAGTTTTGTACAAAGGAAAGAGCAAAAATAAAGGGATTACAATAAAGTTTGAAATGTAACTCCGATATTCTCGCGATTGGGCGCTGTGATCGTGCAAAGATTGTTGTCAATCTAATCCTTTCTGAGATCCGGGATCTAAAGTTATCTGTTAATTGGTTGAACAACTGTAAGGATTGGTCACGACTAGCTTGTGCTAAGTCGAGCTATAACTCAACGAGCTTATGTTGGGTCGAACAATCGGTGGAGTCGAGTTGGTTCTGAATCGGCCTATAACCTCGCAATACTCCAAGCTTGGTGGAAGAATCACATACAACATGTAGCAAAGCCCACAACATTGTACCACTCCATGGCAGCTTTGCCGCAAGTATTTTTCAGGAAGGAACCTAAATACACATCCAAGAGGAGGTTTCCTCATGCATGACAATTGCAAATGATATAATTGACAGTTCCATAATTGGTAAAATGAATGCTTGAAATGATCATGTTGTTGGCCCTGATTGGTCAAACAACAATAGAAGCAAAGAAAGGGAAGGAGAATGAATATGTTATCATAAAATAATCGTGGGAAAAGCATGTCATAAGATGTCAATCAGTCTGGCATATTTTTCTGAAAGGATGATAGTCAATAACTGAAATCCCACCTCAGATGAACATGAGTTAGATATTGAGTTTAGGAGACGGTAAATAATATCATCTGATAGGTTAGTATTTTGGGTCGGTTTTAAAAATAACATCTTTTAACTTCTCTTTAGTAATAATTTTTAATCCAACTTAAAAGTTAGATACTAAATTTCAACAGGTTATGTCAAGTCATTACAATTACGATTTTTAAAGTTAGAAAGTTTGAAGGGTGGATTTCATAAGAAATGCTTGCGAGAGAAGGAATGTTATTTATAAATATATAAAAAAGATGAATTTATCCCCTCAATTATCTGTTATCGACCAGGGGTTAATCCAGTTAGACCAATAGTTTGCTCCAACAAGGTCAAGTTTGAGTCTCCTCATAAATACTTACATGATCAAAAACCATTGTTTTCTGTTTCCTAAAGATCATAGGATTTGATAGAAACTAAAGTGAGCACATCTATCCTACCGTGGAAAGAAAAAATGTATGCCAAAAGGCCATGTAATATTGTGATTTTGTCAATTTGGAAATAAAAATATTAATCTACAACAGAAAACAAATTAACAAAATTTTTAAGGTGGACATCCTTTGTAAAGAGAGCAATCTTCTTGGTTAGCAGCAACACAAGCTGCTGCTGTAAATGAATTTTTGTTTTTCTGCTAAAAAAAAAAAATGGTTAGAATTGTTTCTGAACACAAACATCGAAGATCGAATCCACAGTTACCCAAGCATACATAGGAAGCAGCTAATTTGCTAATATGTAGCTCCTCAGCCATGTCGATTTCTAATGCTCCATTAACTTAAGAAGAATAGCCTGCAAAAGCAATCAAATTCATGGATTGATCGCCATTTCATTGATACAAGAATAAAATAGTATTCTGGCAAGCTCCAAAATTCTAGAATAAGTTCGAAACACATTATGAGATAACTTACAGGACAGGAACGATATGATTTCAGTCCATGGTGTAGTTCAACATAAGATATTAGAAGCTTCACTGGACGAAACTCAACCAAGTGACTGTATCCTCTGTTGTCTGTGAAACAAATTAATTCTCGTTGTAGAAGATGTTCAAATGCCTGCAGAAGTTAGAGAGCAAGGAACTGTCAAAACATGCTTGAAGATAAACTGGTGGGACACAGCCTTAAAAAATACACACCCGCAAGCATACACTTCGTGCATAATAATCAGATGTCTTGAATGAATCGTGTATGCTTTTGTACTCTGCAAAAGATGACAAACATATAATTACTAGTCAATTTGATAAAGGTAATAGAAAACTATCAAGTTAGATATCTGAACTTTACCTTTCATAACAGAATTAAAGTTGTAGGAGTTTTGCTCTTTAACTTCCAGCCTCTTCATGCATACCAGAATGTAGAGTTCGAGTATTGAACAATCTGCTTGAACAAGAAGTCATATTTTAGAACTTCAATCGATATATTTTGCTGAAGCACTACATGATACCAGAAGCAAAGTTAGTCTGTCCATTTTTCAGAGCTTGAGTTTGACATCAAGGATACAAAATTCACACAGATAACACCGCGAGAGTACCTTTTGTAGATTCGAGCTTTGGCTGTCTCTGAAAATTTGGCAGTGCAGTTTTGAAATTCTCAAGGGATAGGAAGCCGGATTCCAAATCCATGTAAGAAACAGCTTGAAATCTAGTGCAAGTGATAAGTTCAGCAGGAGATCAAACATGAAAATCTTACTTCCATACATTCATACAACATACTTATAGATGCAAGGAGAGAAACTTACAGAAACCTCAATAAATGATTGACTGTGGAATCGGAGTTCAAATAAGTATTAATGATTTCTTTGAATCTCTCATCTGCTAAAATGTTCTGTAAAATGTAAAGGACTTTTGACACAACCAATTCACCAAGAAGAAAAGGAGGATATGATGTCTTAACTATTTGATGAACAAGGAACTTACCTTACCAGGTAATACTGTTATTCAAATTTTCACCAGGTTGAAAGTAATGAAAATATGGTGGTTTAAGGGAATTTTCTTATGTTAAAAATGAAAGAAATTCCACAAGTCCAATTAGCAGCTTTGTAATTGTAAAAAAGATATTAACTACATGATTTAAAAAAAATATGATGAACCTCAGAATTGTGCAAAACATGCTACTTGCCTTTACCTTTGTTTTATACTCAGGAAGCTAATCAATCAAACAGGTCTCTGATAATATGCAGACTAAGCACAATTTTCTACAAAATATATGATTGAGGCAAGCCAGAATTTTGAAATATATGCATATGATTTTGTTATTTTGGGTCTATATGTTTTCATATACATAGATGAATGTAAAATATGCCTTTCAAACAGCTGTATTATACTGCCATCCTTTAAGGGGGGATACTTTAATCTTTCCATTGAATTCAACAGCATAGTCACGAGGGAGACTTGAGTCCATTGGCAAAGATAAAATGTGCTCCAATAATCTGCATAGAAAGGAAAACAAACAAAAATCATAACAGCTAGAACTTTCCCGTCTTGAGCAGAAGCACAGTGGCCAAGTCAGACAATCAAAAAACTACCTCTGCAATTCTTCCTTAGATGGAGGCAAAAACAACAGCTTCCTATGTGAGAAACGAGATCTTACTCTTTTTTCCAAAAGTTGGTCAGCATCCTGCACAGTATACAGCCTGATTTTAAGAACTCTTCACAGGTAACTATTCCGTATATGAGTCTGTGAAATTCAATGCAAACAGATTTATGGATATTGATTTCTAAATATGTTATTGCTAACCAGTCTCAGAGCAGAGTTTGAGAATAACCACTAGAGCATGGCTTTGTCTCAAATTACAAAGAACTTGAAGATAATAAGAGAGCATTTAGTTTGGTATAAAAACAATGAAAACAAGAAAATAGAAAAAGAAACTTTAAATGACCATACCAGTCGGCAACTCACACCAATAACAACAGCTTGAGATGTTACTGATTGCATTGCATCTAGCAGGCTATAAAGTAACCGTTGTTTCCCCTGCAAAGAACAATATTTTGGAAATAGGTAATGTCATAATCCAAGATTCCAAAACTCCAAACTGATACTATGCACTTTGAAACTATGAATGGAAGCATTTTCATGATTCACATCAATTTTTCATTAACAAACAACTTTCAAGCAAAAACTAGAGAATTTGTAATGTCAGACCACAAGCTTCAGTATATGGGCACAAAACTACAGATTTATACCTGAGCAAAGAGGTCAAACTCATTTAGTACAAATATAATGGTTTTATGAGCTAATCCACACTCCCTGATAGCCACAAAATACAAAGTTCATTAGAATGCTAAAAGCATTTGACAAGAGGCTAAAATGAGTACATCAAGGAAATTTAGTGCACTCACCGTAACATGGCTATCATGAACTGAGAGTTATCATCAAATGATGCCTACAAAATATCATTTCAGAACATCAAGAAAGCTCGATTATTAGTTACAGATGCACCATAGTGACCTCAAAATTATTATGTGTGTTACCATTTTAGAGAACATAAGGTTATGCTCCATACATAACTGTCTAGCAATTTCCTGAAAGTATCAACAACCATGAGAAATCAAGTATTAGATTTTAAAAAAAAAAAAAAAAAATCTCAAAAAGAGACAGACATTTCTCTCTGAAATATGACCTGAAACTTTTTCTCTACAAAAACCCACACGTAGCAAATTGTTTATTGAAGCAAAAATGATCTTGTCAATAAAATAAGTAGTAAAAAAAAGGCATATACATTTGTCTTTGCATACATGTACCAAAATGTAAGGCAATAAGTGTCTTATTGTGCTAATGTGATGCTGCAATCAAATCAATAACTTTCCCATTAACAATATTCATTCTTTGGCAATCATTGCTCAAACTTGTTTTATGGTCCATAAATCCCTGTCACTGTAATCTTAGGTGAGTGGAATTTGAACCCAAGATCTCTGGTATAACCACAATACACTGATTAAGACATCAGATAAACCTGGTATAGTTTCACATAAAACTCAGCTTCACTTTCTACATGGATTTTTACATTGCTTATAACAAATTCTTGAATCATGCCAATGCATTGCCTTTAAAAAAACTTCATGGAAGTGAAATATATCAAAGCTTTATCATCATCACCAAATTAATGACCCATTTACATATCTGACCTTGATTGCACAATTGTCATCACTGTGCAAAAGCCCATTCAACATAATCTGAAACATCAACATCATTAGAGAATAAGATAGTATCGAATGTATCACTTAAAACACAAAATAATTAACATGAAAAAAAAAAAAAAAAAAAAAAAAAAAACTATACCATACACAGATAATGTATCAGGATATTCTAGCAATAAATCATTAAGAACAAGCTCCAACACCTAAAAACACAACAAAGACAATAAATAATCACAAATCAAATAGCCATAAAATAAATAAAAATAAAATATTTACCGCGATTTTTCCAGAACCGCGAGGGCCAAGCAGCAAAATCGAGTTGTTGCAAGCCTCGTAACCGAACTCGAAACAAAAACTTCAACTTGCTGCAAATTATATTAGATTCTTAAAATGCACATTGATTTACTTTCCTGGAATTTTCTCGGGACCAAACGGAAAGTTGAGAAACGGAATAGAATCGGACCTGTAATTGCTGTCGGAAAGTCGGAGAGAGGTTGAAAATGAAATTAGGGTTACAGAGCCTGTTACGGAGGAGATTCAACGCTTTCTGTGATGCTGGATTTTTCCTTCCCATTTTGAATCTGTGAGTTTGTGTGCCGGCGAAGAGACGATGAGGTTGAGAGTTGAGACTAGAGAGAGAGAATGGCGGAAACAAGTGAAGAGTAGGGCGGGTTGAGCTGACTTTATTTACTGGGCTTTCTTTTTTTAAAGTGATTTTAGCCCATTACTAAATACACTTATATATATTTAAAAAACCCCTTTAATGTAAAAATAATTATGCTTTTTTGGTTGCCGCATTTTTCTCATTTCAAATTTAATTAGGTTTTTTATTGACCCCCTATTTTTTCTATTTTAAATTAATTAGGGTTTTTGTTTACTTTTTCTTTATACAATTTTTTTCCACTTTTCTTTTTCATAATCAGATTTTATCTCATTGTGTACTTTCTCTGAACTTTAATACATATTGTCATTAAAATATTTGAAATTGAAAAAAAAATCAGCGATTTAGAAATTTTAGGATTAGAGTTTATGTACGAAAATACATCCCTAATATTTTCATAAGGTTAAAATTGTAAGAAAAAAAAATTAAAAGTGGAGGATATTGATCAATTTGATGGAAGGCTAAAAATACTTCTTTTTTTTTTTTTTTTTAGTATATTATCTGAATATTCACCACAGGAGAATAACAAATGCTACCAAAACAAAACAAAAAAAAAAAAAGACTTTCGTAGGACGAGTCTAGAATGTGATCTGTATATTTACTCAATAAAATTTAGATTACATATATATCTTCTCAAAATTAATGAAAAACATTTTCCCTCAATTTTGTGAAATTAATGTTGTCATTCCTAAATGATTTTATTTTTCCAGTTAAATGTAATGGTTTAAGTGAAAAAAGATATTTTAAGTAAATTACAGGCATTTTTTTTTCCAAATAATTGAGATATTTGTCTAACGAATGATTGAAAGATTGTTTTGATATTGTTATAATTCTTGAATGTGGATTAAAATTGTTAACTGTTTTTTCAAAATATCTTTTTTACCTCTTACAACTAGGGGTGAAAATCGAACCGAGCGGCTTGAGCTCAACTCGATGTTGGTTCGAATTTGGCTTGGCATTAATCGAGTTGAATAGTTATTCGAGTTGAGTTCGATCACAGTAGAACTTGACTCGAAATGTTCGCGAGTATTTCCAAGCTCGATGATTAAGTTGATGGTTTTTAAAGTAATAGGGGTCACATATAATTTAAAAGTTATAAAGTAATAGTTCAAACTCGAACTCGATTAAAACTGAAAAAAAAAAAAAAAACTCGATTATATGAACTCAAATTCCAATTTCAAGTATCGAGTTAGAGTTTGAACTTGATTTCTCAAGCTCGATTAGGCTTGAACTTGAACTCGAATTTGATAATGTAGCACTCGAGTCAAGTTCAATTTACCAAATACTCGACTCAATTTCACCTCATTGATGGACAGAATCTCTGTTTGGGGGTGTCAGAGTCGGTTTTCCAAAATTTGAGGGGAAAAAAAATAGCACCAAAACCTCAGGCACCCACTTCCACGTGTGCCAGCGGCACCCAATAGAAATCCCGCACAATATCCTGCTAAACTACGCCGGGGTCGAAATATCGCAGTCCAAATCATGAAATGTGCGATAGGAGCCAACCGTTCCCCGATACGCCGTTTCAGACTTGTTAGTTTGAAAATATAAGCAAATAAATATAAAATTTTTTTTTTTAAAAAAAACTAAAAAAAAAATGGGAAGCACGAGCACAGCACTCGTGGCACACTTGCGGCTGAGCTACGGCTGCACTTCCCGACGGAACGAGCCAATCAGAACCGTGCGGAGTTGTGTGAAAGTCAACGGTTGTAGTTCGAGGCTGAGATTCGGTGCTTCGCGGTGCAGGAGGAGTTTCGGTAGACTCGTTTGTTTCGCGGCGTTTGACGGTGATGATGTGATAGAGAAACAGCCGGAGTCAGGTACAAGTAATAGCGGCGCTGGAGGAGTTGGCTCAGCTGTTGAAGATAGACCTGGTACGATTTTAAATAATTTTTTGTATAAAAAAATTGAATATTAAATGTTTAAATGTTAAATTTATTGTTTAATAGCTTAATGATTCATGTTAAAGACAGAGTTATAGTTACATCAATAAGAAGGAGAATATGGTTATATATGTAGTTTGTGAAAAGCGCTTTTGAGTAGAACTACTTTTACAAATGCATTTTTTTAAGCTGTTCTTTAATTTGAAAATGCTTTTTAAAAAGTATCTGTGAAGTGTCTCTTCAAAACTAATTTATATGTCAAACTTCTAAGAAATGCTGCAAGGTAAACACTAAAGCTGTTTAATTTCTAGTCCTTGTTTGGTTGCACATTGAAAAATGTTTCTTAATTTTGGAATATTTATCTCCATTTACTAGCTATAATCCTATTTATGAGCTTTCAATAAGAATATTTAAAACTAATAAAAATACGTGAACTAATAATTCTTCACAAGCATTTGTATTAATTATGCTCGCATATGCCCAAATGAGCGTTCTTAATGTATTATCTGTATAAAATTTTACGAGAGGAGGTTCTTGACAAATAAATAAGCAAATGTCAGCAAATGAAATGGAACAGGAGATTTTCTCTCAATTATGAGTGCTTTGTTAGTATTTGGATGCTTAGAAAAAAGTTGGAACTTCTAGTTTAACTATTCTGGCATATAGGTGAATTTTCTTATATGGTTTTCATTATCCTGAGTTGAGGAAGTAGATAGCTATGGGATGTAGCTGAGGTTCTGACATCACTTTTATGATTGACAATTTAGATGTGTCTGATATCACAAGAGATGAGACGTTAGCAAATCTAAACAAGGGTGGCAAGGAAAGTTCACTTTACGATTTTCTATATCCTGATAAAGAGCTCCTTCCAGATGATAAAGAAATGACTATATTTGATCACCTAGAAGAGCTGCGTCAGAGAATATTCGTGTCAGTTTTGGCCGTTGGAGCTGCTATATTGGGATGCTTTGCGTTTTCAAAAGAACTGATCGTGTTTCTTGAAGCTCCTGTTAAATCACAGGGTGTACGATTTCTGCAACTAGCTCCTGGCGAGTTTTTCTTTACAACTTTAAAGGTTAGTGTGAATGAAATATTTCTTCTCTCCAAATAATTTATATCATACACTTTAGTTGTGATGTTATACATATACATACACCTACGTAGCATAAAGGTACCTAGTAATATATGTATGAATACTGAATCTCCATCCACTATTTTTCCATATTTCTTTATGTGGCATCTGATAACCAATTTCATTGGCTTGGGTGGGATGTTGGTCTGCCTCTGTGGTTAATAAATGAATGGATGCTTTAAATGTTGTAGTCTATATTTTTTTTCTTAAATTATCAGTTAAATAAAGTGTCAATTTTTCTGTCTTGATGCCTTTTCAATTTATTTTAACTTTTTGTTCAACCATACTGCACTAAGTTGGTGTCTGTGGAATTTAATACGAAACAGATTGCATGGAAATGATATCAATTTCTGGTTACACATATAACATTTGGTATTTCGGAAATTTGAATCCATGTACTAAACCACCGGTTGTGTGGCATATTTAGTTGCATTGTCAATAAAAGTGCATTGACATATGGGTCAAATATTTTGATAACTGATCATTTTCCATTACTTTATATCTAAGGAGTTTGTAATACCTGGAAATACATCATAGGGTGCATCCAGAGCTTAAACTATTTGATGTCAATTGTTTGTTAATAACAGTATATCTTCTTTGATTGTATGCTGCAGGTAGCAGGATATTGTGGCCTCCTTTTGGGAAGCCCCATTATTCTCTATGAGATAATAGCCTTTGTTCTTCCAGGTCTAACGAGAGCAGAGAGAAGGTTCTTGGGGCCAATTGTTTTAGGTTCCTCAGTACTTTTCTACACTGGTATTGCCTTCTCTTACTGGGTTCTGACTCCAGCAGCCTTAAACTTCTTTGTTACTTATGCTGAAGGGGTTGTGGAATCTTTGTGGTCAATTGATCAATACTTCGAGTTCGTACTTGTGCTCATGTTCAGCACAGGATTGTCTTTCCAGGTAAAGGTTCTCCTCGCAAGCTTATCCTTCTGTCCATAAGGGACAATATAGTGATAATCAACTCTTGATAATTGTATAAAAATTAGGTCCCTATGGAAGTTGAAGATGCATTTATTTCATCCATACTTTGTTTTCACATTGTGGATCCAAACTTCTTTCCCAACTTTAGACTGTCAATAGGAACCCATTTTAACGGATGATGTGATTCTACAGGTTCCAGTCATACAACTTCTGTTGGGACAAGTTGGGCTAGTCACTGGAGACCAAATGCTGTCCATTTGGCGATATGTTGTTGTCGGTGCAGTTGTCGCAGCTGCTATACTTACACCATCAACTGATCCTCTAACTCAGATGCTTCTGGCAACGCCCCTTCTGGGTCTTTATTTGGGTGGTGCATGGATGGTTAAGCTTATAGGACGATGAGAAAATCAACTGTATGAATTTATGTGATTGTTATCGGTGGCAGGCACACTTGGTGGCATGCACATTTAGAGATGCACGATGCCTCTATATTACCAGAAGGGTGTAATATAAAAGCCACACTACATTTTAGGAAAGGAAAATATCATGAATGTCAATCTTGTATTTGATTTGTAGCATTATTGAACATGATTGACTTTTTGCATCTAATATGATAGAAAAATGTCCATTGACAAGTAACAAAACCATTCTAGATTTTCAGTGTTAAATTCAGCAACACATTATAGTCGAAACTCGCAACGGGTAATCACAAATACAAACCATGATTTGTTTCTCACCCACTCTCTCTAATTGCTTACAGAAACATTCTGCATTTTAACTTCTAAATCAGTTGTACTTGAGCAATCTAGTTCAGAGTCCATTTGTTTCAATGAATTCCTCAAACCATTGCACACCTGAATGAAAGCTTCGGAGGAGCTCTTAAAACTTTCTACTTCTGTCTGAAGTTCATCAGTAATGCTCGATATTTTCTCCATCACTGTCTTCATAGCTGAAACCTCTTGTGGGGGGTAAAGACAGGCTCCAAGTTCATCAATCTGTAGTCCTAGTCCTTGACATAATTTCAATATTTTTTCCAAAGAGTCCACAAATTTACCATTATCATCTGGATTCTCCAGCTTAAGCAAACCTGTGATCGTGCGGATTAGTTCCTTGATGACAACAAGTGTCTCAGACACAATACCAATTGCCAGTTGAGCTACTTTCATCTCCTCAGGTGACAAGTCATTGCCTAAATCACCCAAACTGAAATTTTCATCATCTTGAGCTCCAGTGTCTGCGTTAGATGAAGCATCATCAGAAGCTTCACTTGGATCAGAGGGACCAGGCTTAAGCTCCTTCATCTCACGAAGAACGTCCTTCATGGAAACAGCAACCTGTGTCATAGCTCGTCCAATTGCTGTGATATTTGTGGCAGGAGTCTTCTTAAGAGCAGTGCAAGCTTCCCAAACTGCACCAACAAACTGAGGCATTGCATGTGCTTGATCTTTATTGCGAGATCCTGCCAGCGTTAGTCATATATGAAGTCAAATTATGTTCGTTTGACAGAGAAAATAACAAAAAAAAAAATAAAATAATTTCCTCAGATGATTGTGAAATAAAATCACATTAGAATAATCTATGCAAAGCTAGCCTAAATTTCTAAACACGGTGATCTTGCCTGAAAAACATGTGGTGAGAATCTATGTGATTCATTCACAAACCTAAGATCTTACTACTTAATCCATGCAATGATTTAGGTTAATGATTGTTACTTCTTGTTTCTATTCAGAGGAATCAATACATTGCCGGGATTGGAAAACCAATTTTCTCTTAAATACATCATGGATGATTACAAACAAAAGAGAGAAAACATGAGAATAGACTAGGCATTACATGCAAAAATGCAGAAGGTAGATACATATCTGTATCACATCTCCCAAAACCCTGCTTTGGCAATGCTGAACTGATAGCATGAAATGGTTTTTTTTTTTTTTTTTTTTGGTTTTCAAGGTTACAAAGTCACACAAACCGTGAGGTTCTGGTCAGGGAGGAAAGTGAACCTCTTTATATATATTTGCATGTTAAATCATACTTAGAAATGCAGTACTTTCCATGTTTTCAAATTAAGATTTCACTTTTCCACTGATTTTTAACTAATGGGATTGTTGGATTAACAGCAAATGTCTCTTTGTCTATCAGTCAGAATAATAAGCTCAGATATCTGCTGCAATTACCATGAGCTGAGCAGCTTTTATGTGGCTCTTCTTATCAAACAATCCACCATACAGTCGCAAAAGTTAATAAGATATGCATTGAAGCTATAGACAAATATAAGTATCAATACACATGATTATGGAGAAACCAGTATACTGTTAAAAAAAAAAAAAAAAAAAATGTCACTTAAACTAGCATGTGCTTGTGGCTGTATGTACAGGAATGTTCAAGAGTTCGTGTAAGAGTGACAGAGAGGGGAGATAAGACGGAAGTTTACCATATAAATTAACAGATTCCTTCATCAACTTAAAACTTGAATCAACAACTTGCTTCACAGACGCATGGATTGCAGAAGAAAGAGTAGGTCCAGCACCAACTGTACTTCCATAGGTATGCAAAAGGAAACCCTGCAGGGTATTAAAGTAAGCCGCCATGTTCTCGTCGACTGCTTTAGCTTCTGGTGTCTCCCCAGTCCAAAGCATACCCACTGCGCCAATTAATAACAGACTAAATCAATCACTTCAACCCTTAATATCAAGCCACACAAAAACCAAGAAACTAGATAAACACCCCAATCACAATTATAAACCAACCACGATGATCGAATATCAAGTTTTTCCAAAAAAATACTAATCACGATCATCGAATAGCTTAAAGAAAATGCATATACAACATAATTTCAATCGACCAGCTACAGATAACATCTGTCTCACCTAAGGCTTCTCATCCATTAATCCAGTTTTTTCAAGCACAACAAGATCCATGACCAAGCCAAAGTAAAAATTTTCTATTTTCTTTAGTCCCAAAAGGGGAAAGAGGGACCTGGGTATGATTCAAAAATGAAACTTGCATAGTAAAAACTCAATAATTACACCAGAAAATCCATTAAACATAACATATATTGAACTGGGTATCCAAAACAGAACACTTAAAGATTCTGAAAATTGCATACTGTAAAAGTAAAAAATTGAAGAAAAAAAAAAAAAAAAACAGAAGAAGAGTGAGTGTACCATTAGTGGCTTGCTTGGAGACTTGTTCACCCATCTTCAAAACATCGTTCCAGCTCACTTTTTCTAGCGACGAAGCTACTGTTTGATCCAAACTCTATGAAAAAAAATAAAATCACTTCAATATTTTAGACATAAACAATGAAAAAATAAAACTTTATAATTATAGATGGAAAAAAAAAAGGAAAAAGAGAGAACCTGTAAGGTGTCATGGATGTTGTTAAGGTGCTCATTAAGAGTTCGAATGAGTCGGTCTTTCTCTCTTTCTCTTTTCCCCATTTCTCTCTGGTGAACCAGTTGGTGGCTTGGAGCTTGCGGTTGGAGGAGTCTACGGGTTGTAAAAGAGGTTTAGACTGGTGTTATATACGACGTCGTATTCATTTTCATTTCATTTTAATTTTTAAAATTATAATTAAGAAAATAATATTTTTATATCTAATAAAGTATATTATTTTAAGAATATTAAATTCCTTACATTAAACATACACAAATACAAACCACGTTATATTGTTTACGCGCACAAATACCAGGTGTTATTATTATTATTATTTTTTTTGGTGATCGTGGGTATCTAGATTAGTTTACACGTATCTCGATCAATCTTTCAGGATCTTAAAATTAACGACCGAGTAAACCTTTCAGTAGTCACTTTTTTTAGCAACCGAGTGAAATTGATCTTAAAACCTTTTAGATTATACTAAAGAGTCTCTTTATCGCTCCATCCAATCACCTAGAGATGGTTCATATGTTATTATTTAGACGACATTTTTTAATAAATGTAAACAAAAGAATACAAGTTTCATTTCTATCGATGAATGTATATTTTTATCGATTAACCGATACCTTATATCAATAAAAATATCTATCGATGAATGTAAAAATATACTATTTTACTAAGTGTTCATTCATGCATAAAAAATGTTCAATAATTAAAAAAAAAAATGACCTTTTCTTCTATGTTTTTATAGTGAGTTAGCCCAAATAACCAAAATACAATATTGCACAAACTTCTGCAGGTTGTACAAGTTTTGGTGTCAAAATTTTATCTCATTTAACTATCATAGCACAGGAGATATCACTGTCAAACTTCTTCAGTCAGTCAAGTTAAACCATTTTCTGGTGCAAATCTTCCATGAAAAACCCTCTCCCTTGCCATACTCACCTGCATTATGAAGGTATCTGAGCAACGAACATAAAAGTATATATGAATGAATATAAATTATTGTATTGCTGATGGAATCTAAAACTAAGAACAATTTCAGAATCCAAGTAGAAGGTAGACCTGTTTTTCCCAGTTTGTGCAACTTGTTATGATGATAAGCAAAACTGTTTGCAGAAGAGCACCAGCTTGTATTCCTATCCAGAGGCCTTGTCCTCCCAACTCCAACCAGAATCCCAACATGGCTGCAACTGGAGTTCCACACAGATAGTATGCAGCCAGATTGACATAAGCCCCCAAGTCCTGCCAGCCGCAGCCCCTTGCAACGCCTGATTTTCAAGCGAAAAACAACTCGATTAAACTGTGAAAACTATCCATCGAGTCGAGTAATAATTTCACGTAATAAGGGGAAGAGAAGACGAGGAACTGACCAGAAAGGACACACTGTAAGCTATCCAATATGACGGATAGACATATCAAAGGAGCCATTTTTGTGACATAATCTATAACTTCCTTCTCATCGCTAAAGACACAACCAAAAACATGCCTGCCCGCAAAGAGGGTGGCGCTTACTGTGATCGCCTCAGAGACTGCAAGAAACATCACAGCTTTGACAGCTATAGAGGCTGCTTGAGGATTCCCTGCTCCTAATTCATTGGAAACTCGAGTGCTGTCACAGCATAATGGGAAAAACGAAAGATGGATATCACCATATAAACTATGAAGAGATGAGTACTAAGTACGTGTGTTGAAGCAAACCTCGCAGCAGCACCAAGTCCATCTGGTATTGTATACAGAGTTGAGATTGTTGCTAAGCTGTTGAAGAATGGTGAAATAGAAATTCAATTTTCATTTTGGACTCGTTTCAAATTAAGAAGCTGTTACGAATAAAAAATCTTGACGAACTTTACCATACAGACAGAACTGAAGTTTCAAGCTCTGGATTTGGAAGAAGACCAGACAGCATTGTAAGAAACTCAAACGACCACCATTCAAGGCTTGACCCAGTATCATCATCAAAACATGAAAAGAGAGACATTGAATAAGTAGATGATAAAGCGAATACTTTAACTAACTACTAACTGTAATAAAATCTTTACCAAATCATAAAAGCAGAAGGAATCGCGAGGCCAAAGAACTGTCCAACTCCTTGGAAAAGCTCCATGGACACCGCGACACGGGTTGTCTCACAGGAGGAAGAGTAGCTGAAGTACAGCACAAGTAAAAGCACATTCAACCAATATGACAAACCGATGGCTAATGCCGCTCCAAGGTTACCAAATCCAGACTTGAAAACGAGAACCCAACAGAGAATCAAATGGAAAACAAGAGTAACGCAAGAGCACACGAGCAAGGGAAAGGTAAGACTTTGTGCTTGAAACAATCGAACAAGTGACTGAAGAGAAGCATAACCGAAAAGAGCTGGAATAAGCCAGATTGTGAATCTTCCAGCTTCTTGAGAAATTAGAGCGTCTTGGCCCATGAAAACGAGTATTTTCTCCATGAAAACCCACATGAGAGACACAGGAAAACAAACTAAAATCAAACAGAAAAGAGCGGTATAAGTCTGAGTTCCAAGCTTTTGATGCTGCTGAGCTCCATAGGCTTGGCCATTTAGAGTTTCAAGTGCAGTAGACATTCCAAACTGCCATTAATTCACATGTTCAATCAAAACCTCCAAATAGATGAATAATTAACCAGTTTGATAGCTAATTAATGTTAAGTTAAAAGCAATAAAAATCAATTGTTCAGGCTTCTAACTCTTTCAAAGAAAGGTTTTTAGGAAAGATTTGGAGTATGACAAACTTTCATTCGTCTTTTTTCATTACTACATACATCCCTTTTATAAGGAGAAAACGTTACAAAACCCTTTAATCTTCCTAACACACAAAACTGATCAAAATAACCTTTAATCTTCATCTTACTAACACACAAGACTGATAAAAAAAACCTTTAATCTTCATCTTCCTAAGACAAAAAACTGATAAAAAAACCCTTTAATCTTCATCTTCCTAACACAAAAAACTGATCAAAGAAACCTTTAATCTTCATCTTCATAACAAAAAGGTTCAATCTTTAACCATTAGCAAGCAAAAATCAGAGACTTACAACAAGACTGAAGCCGGTGACAGCGCAAAAAGAGATGGCTATTGCAGTGCTAGAAAGATGAAGCTCACCCAGATGACCCACCATCATCACTGCAATTATTTGCAGGAAATATTGTGACAAATTCACGGCCACCAAAGGCCCGGCAATGCATGCCACCCTCTTCACTTCTTCACCATAAACAATTCTCCATGAAGCAATCCCAGTTAAACTTAAACTCCCGTCTCCCTCTTTATCTAACAGTCCCTTCTCCATTTTACTCAGAAATATCGTTTCTGTCACCCACTTTATGAATGTTTCATGTATATGTTTGGTTTTGGTTATGTGTTGCTTTAAGGTGATTGAGTTTGAGACCTTTCTGAAAATAAGAAAGTATTAGGAAGCACGGGGTTTACTTTGTAATTAGCAGTTACGCCATGAGGCTGCACGATTTTGTTTGTCCTTTTCACCGCTGACTAGGGGCGTCCAAAAAAATAAAAAAATCAGAGCGAAAATCTGGTTAATCAAAAAATCGGTTTGGCTACGGTTCAAAGAATTTAAAAAATCGGATTTTAGGTTCAGTTTCCGATTTAAGGAATTCAAGAATTCAAACTGGTTTTACTAAAAAAAAAATATATTATATATTAAATTAAAATAAAAAATAATCTAAAATTTAATTCAAGCAAAAAAAAGAAAAAAAAAGAAGTTTAATCCAATTTAAGGGGAAAACCGATTCAAAACCGGTTAACTAGTTTTTTCAAAAGCCTTTAACCGGTCTTTTGGTCAACGGTTTCCCCTAAATCGATTCAATTTCAATTCATGAATTTTCTTGAACCGAAAAACTGGTTCGGTTCAAGAAAGTGGTTAACCAGTTCGGTTAACCGCTTTTGAACATTCCTACCGATGACTGATGCATTTATGTTGGGTTTCACTCAAGACCTTAGCAACTGGGCAAGACAAGTTCAAATTTTTGGTGTGTTTTGCAATATAATCAAACTATGAAGGGCTATTTAATAATCCACATAAACTCCTGCATTATCTATTTCTTGGAGGACTATTTAAATGATTAATACTAGCCTTACAAAGAGATATATAAAGAATCAAATCCAACCCTTAAAAGAAGGAAAAAAGAGAGAAAGAGGCGAGACAATCATGAATTTCAAGGACTGGATTTGACTCTTTGTATGACTATTTGTATGCCTCTTTGTAAGGCTAGTATTACTCCTATCTAAATAACTCCAAGGCTAAAAATTGCACAAAAAGAAGGGCCTTGTAAAAGTTTTTCACTGTTTTGTGAAGAAGTTTGGTGCCCTCCAAGTAAGTACAACGACCAGAGAGAAAATGAACCACAAAGTAAAACGACAGAGAGAAAATGAAACAGAGAAAGTGGTAGGTATATGTAAAAACCATGGGAATGATCAAGCTTTTTGAGTCTGAAAGCATCAAAAAAGTTGCTGCAGAATTGTATAAAGCAAACAGTGAAGGCACTGGCCATTCCTGACTTTTTGCTGCAGAAGAAAGAAAATTCAAACACAACTTATGGTTTTAATGGTAAATATTTATTTAAACAACTACTCCATATATATAACCAAGATTCCATATCCTTTGAGAAAAAAAAGGGTGTTTATTTTTCAAAGAGAAGCTAGTTAGAGATCAAATCACTGGAAAGTGTTTGTTACAAACTTCTGCAAATCCTGCAACTTCGGTTGTCTCTCTGAAATTCATGCTCTTACATAAATTACAAACATACTAATAATTAAGAACAACTTCAGCATATCTATTAGATATCCCACGTACAAGCACAACCAAAGACTAATGAGAAATGACACAAACTGGTCATGATTTTGAGATTTACAAGACTGATGCCAGTGACAACAGAGAGAGAAAATTGCTGTATGTAGCAGTGACATTAAAAATATGATTTTCACACAATATTGTCCATGAACAAAATAAAAACAGAAAACAAAAACAAAAACAAATTGTTGCAGTGAGAGTCCTGTGGGTTTTGATGATGTTAAATCAAAGGAGAGAAGAAAGGCTATATTTTCATTTATTCTAGTTATAATAT